GCTGCCATCTGGGAGAAGCCGCGGCGAGGGCTGTGGACAGTCATGCGGCCCCGAAGCACCGGGCGGGGCTAGGACAGATGTCACGTGGATTTCTAAATAAAGCGTGGGCGATACACCTCCGGTTACAGTAAACATTGGCCCTGCTGGGAGGGGGCCGAGACGGCACTCTTCACCTGCGCCGCACCACCTGGGGTGATGGATATCCCAATCCCAGCCCAGCTGGTGGGCATCAAGTCAGAGAGAGAGAGCAGTCAAGTCAGGGCTGGGCAGATGAGGGTTTTTTCCAGCGGGGAATCTCTGTCTTTCCCACAGAGGCCCAAAATAGGCCAGTTACTTTATCTGGTGAAGAGAAGAACTAAAATGAGGGTCGGTCCTGGCGGTTCTGTCCCAGGCAGCTTATTGGGGGCCCAGGCCAGGGCTGGGGAGCAGAGGAGCAGACCCTCTCCTGGCAGGGGGGAGCCTGGCGTCTGATGGTTTCAGTCTCTCCCACCTGCCTCAGTACCCAAGCGGCGTCACAGGGCACCTGATCTTTCCTCTGCATCCCAGAGTTCCGGGCCAGCCTCAGGGCCGTCTCTCGTCCAAGGCCCCGCTAGGCCCAGGCCGCCTTGCAAGATGCTGCTTGGACCTCAGCCGCTGTCGAACAGCTGGCCTGGTGTGGCAGCGGAGGCCGTGGGGGGAGGGGGTCCTGCGGGCAAGGCAACTGATCTCCCAGGTGTCAGTCAGCCAAGCTGCTCTACTGGGCAAAGGAAGCTGCCGGGAATGGTGTTTGTGAGGAGGTGGGGGCTGCAGGGGAACCCCCGCTCTGGACTTCCTGGGCTCCTCTTTAGTCCGCGCCCCAAAGGGCCGGCAGCCCAGGCAAGGGGAGCAGGGAGAGCAGCAGGCCCCTGGATCAGCCCTGACCCCCAGCTCACAGCCCTCCTTCCCACAGCCTTGGGTGGAATGAAATTACAATCCTTCCTTCCACGCTTCAATTGCACACGTGCAGGGAGTGGGCCGCCCTCTCTTTTCTTCCGCAGCCACGTCGGGCCACCCTGCTGGGCAACAGCCAGACCCCCAAACTGCCAAGAGACACGTACCAAGTCTGTTCCAGTAATCACGAGGGACAGGGCTTCAAAAGCGGAGACTGTTACCAGCAGGGCTGGGTCTGGGTTGATGGGCCTAAGGCAGATGGAGACCTCCCGGCGCTGCATAGTCGCCTTAGTCCTGGAATCGGCATCAGAGCGGGATGGCGGGGTGAGGGGGAGCCTGGGAGGCTTTTCACAGCTGGTAGATCTGACTTCTTGTAGGGGCCTGGGCTTCCTCCCTTCCTGCTCTGCCTGGGAGCCACTGAGCTTTGGCCTGGGGGGAAGCTCTCTCATGGCAGAAGGTGGGCAGGCCCAAAGAGATGCCAGAGGCCCCTGGCGCAGCCTTGCCCATCAAGGGATGGGTGGCTCCTGCTGCAATCCCAGGCAGCGGGCCTTCTTCCTGTCCTTCCAAAAGGCTGATCTGCAGACCCTGAGAGCAGCAGTCTGGGCCCCGAGGGCCCTGGGGAGGGAGCAAGTCAGTGGCGCACCCGTAGCACCGGCCAACTGGGGAAAGGCTGCAGAGAGACCCCCTCCTCAGGCAGGGGGCCGCAGCAGAGAGAGGCGCACACGCTGGGCTGAACCCTGCCTCTTTCACCATGCCTTGGGACAAGGGCTGGGGGGAAGGAGGGGCCGTGTGGCCCCGGGCAGACTCCAGCTGAGACAAGCAAAGGATAGAAGCAGGCGGTAAAGAGGGAGGACTAGCCTGGGCCTGACTGGGCTCTCCCTGTTGGCCTGGAGGGTCAGACACACCAGTTTGCTGGCTTCAGTTGCCCGGGGGG